ACTGATTGATTTATTTGTTTTCTTATTAATTCTTAATTCATTTATTTTTTCATCTTATTTTGTGTTAAAAAGTAAAAAGATTTGAGAAGATTGGAATTTTTTTAACAAAGCTTTTCTTGTGGAAAACCTGATGCGGCCCAGCCTCACCCAGCCTGTGCCTCTAGTGGCCCCCAGGTAAATTGAGTTTTAGACCCCTGATGTAGAGTTTCATTCAGCCAGCACTTCTCCACAGCACTCTCTTCTATGTCTCACTTTGTTTTCTGTGTTCCCCTTAATGGCAGGTCAGCATTCCATGGGAACTGAGCATGCTCAGTCTTCCTTGAATTTATTCTAGGACACCCTTTGTTCTCCTAGATATATATCTTTATTATGTCTGGATCTCCCACAATTCCTCTAAGTCTGATGCTTTACACAAGGATGGTGCCATTTTTTGTTACATCCAATGCCAGCATTCACTACTGAAGACTGATTTTGAGGGAACGAGTGAGACTTGCCACATGGAGTTGCAGCATGTACTGCTCCTATTTAGGTTGACACTCACTCCCCTACATTCTACAACCACCTCGTTGCTAATACAGAAGGGCTCACACTCGGAGAACCAAAACTGCTATTCATATCAATAACGCAAAGCCTTTTGACAGAGATAAAAGCTGAAAATGAAAGGGGAAAATCAGGAATAATCTGAAAGCTTCAAAAAGTTACCTTCTGGATTACAATTCCTAGAATCCACTAGCCACAATGGCTGCAGGGGAAAGCCACTCACCAGTGCCAGGTCACAGAGACGAGCTCGGATTTGCACTAATTCATCTTGCAACTGCCTTTGTTGGTAGCTAATTTTCTCCATTGTGGCATCCTGGCCTTTGAAGTCTTCCAGCCTCTGGCGCGTCACCTCCAGGGCCTTTTCGAGACGCTCCTGGAAAAGCACGAGGCATTTTATGGACAACTCTCCCAAATTATCACCACAGGACTTCTTTCTGTGAAGTCTCAAGAACCACAGAAATGGAAAGTCATCAAAAAGATGGGTTTCCTGTAACTTGAGCCCCTTGTTGCATGTCCTGCACTCAAGGACGATTGAGAACAGATCCTGCCCCTCCTCTGGATGACCGCCTTTCAAGTATTTGAAAAGTGCCATCCTATCTCCCCTCAGACTTCTTTTCCCAAGGTTAAATATGGCCATTGAAGTACCTTTTCAGCCCGGAGTTGCACCATTTCCTCTTCAAGACCACAAAGCAATTTGTCTTGGCCACACAGTTTTGTCAAAAGAGCCTATAAGAACAGAGAGAAGTGTAATTCCAGCAAGGCCACCAGGTGGGGGATGTAGTACACAGTCATTGGAGCTTAGCATACAAGAAGGAAACCCAGTTTGGAATAGTGTTGTACAGGTTTTGTGAAAAGCTCTGACAGGACACGTGGCTAGCTTTGCAAGATAAGAGCCAGTATCATGGTAGTCCCAACCAGAATAGACCTACTGACTCAACAGGATTTACGTAAGTGCTGACTTCCCATTCAGAAAATGACTCCATGGATATACTCTTAGGTGGGATTAGCCATAGGATACTAGTCAGTATGACTAAGGATGTTTCATGAGGGATTCCAATGTGCAGTTGATTAACTTGTTCATTTTTTAAAATTAAAATAGAAGCCCACCTTAAATCAGGCAGTAGCTTTTTGTAAGAATAATGGTTTCTCATACAAGAAATTCCAAAAACAATACATATCAGACATAACCTTCCCTTATTTCTTACATACAAATGGAAGAATACCTTCTCTCTATCTGTGCCTATAGCATCTATAAAGAAATTGAAGCTTTCCTTCCCACACACTTCAAAGTCTGTCTCTTTCAACAAGACCAGTAATTGCAGAGTCCAAAATCAAATGCTTTTTTAAAAAGTAACTTTTTGAACTAAAACTCCCAGAGTCCATCTACTTGTCATAGTCACTGGTTGGAGGATTCTGGGATTTATAATAAGGAAATAAAGCAATTTATCCAAACTCTGCTAAAATGATCTAACAGCACATCTCTATTCAGCAGCAAATCCTTTCCCACAAAAAATTGCAGCGGTGGAAATCACCAAGGGAATATCCACCAAGCCCCTTCTCTTCCCATTTTATGTGTGAGATTTATACAAATCAATACTGGAATATTTCTGTGCTGTAAATTCTATTTTCTGATGAAGTAGGCCTTTTTAAAAGGTGCATTAAGAAAACCACCACTTTAATACTGCTATTTTCTAACACTGTGTTTTATTTTATCTATTTTATTTGTACAGTGGTGCCTTGCATAGCGAGGTTAATCCGTTCCAGATTAACCTTCGCTATAGCGAAACATCGCGGAACGGGGCAGGAAAAGCCATTGGAACACATTAAACATTGTTTAATGCGTTCCAATCGGCTCCTTTACTCACCGTTCAGCGATGTTCCGGGATGGCCAGCAGCCATTTTCGCGCCCTCCCCTCACTTAACGAGGGCGCGAAAACGCTGCGCGCGGCCATTTTGGGCCATTTCGGGGCTTCCAGCGGCCATTTTGGCCACCGAACAGCTGATCGTCAGGGCTTCGTTTTGCGAAGATCAGTAAGCGAAACGCTTACCGATCTTCGCAAAGCGAGTTTCGCCCTATCTAAAAGTCGTTGAGCGATCGCATTAGCGATCCCAAAAAAGGGATCGCTATGCGATTTCGTTGTTGTACGGTGCGCTCGTTAAGCGAGGCACCACTGTATTTTTCTCACAACAAAGTTCATTTCTAAGCTACTTTTCAAAACAGTCTTGTGAAAACCAAGTCATATAAATAATTGAAATCTAAATAACAAATATCCCTTAAATCAGAGAAGAAGCACGGGTGCATACGTCAGTATCACTTTCAAACCGCCCACTCCCAGAATGGATGTTTCTCTCCCGCGCAGGATTCCGGCTCTGGAAAGACAGGAAAGTAGATGATATAAAATAAGGGTCACAGAAATACAAGGTAGAATGAGCTCCTAAAGCTTTAATGTTAGTTAGCCCTAGATAAAACTCCACCTTGCAGGGTATAAAAGCCAGAATGATCCATTTTTTAAAAAAGCACACAGTACTCCAGAGTTAAAAACAACAACTGACAAACAAAACAGAATTGCACAGATCAACACAGCTGCCTGCAATTCTGGGTTGTTCCTTTGGGCCATCTCAGAATAACTCACTGTTATTCAAACTTTACCACTACACTCCAGGTTGACCTACTACTAGCTGCTGCTGCTTAACATTGCTGTTGTTCATTCATTCACCTGTTCCTCCTTCCATTCTGAAAAGGAGGAAGGATGATGGCAAATAAGGGAAACAGCAGCCATGAATTTTTCCTGTGTCATCTTGCTTCTTCACCAGCTCGCAGGCAAACACTAGAGCCAGCAAAGGCTCTAAGTGCTCTCCCATATTTTGTTTTTTTAACAAATAGCTCTGCACATAGAAACGTAACATGACAGGAAAGAGACTAGGCTAAAATCAGGAAGCCCTCCAACACAAGAGAACAATTCACGTCCCAAACACAACAGCTTAATTCTGAAACCACAAGCTGGTTTTGCTGTAGTAATCTGGCACAAGAAGGCTGTGCCTATGGCTTTTAGGGCATAAGAGGAGAAGTCTTGGGTTCAGATGGTGTTTCAGCCAAAAACTGACAAGGTCAGCTTTTGTTCTCTGTCTCTCAGCAGCAAACTGAGAGTAATAATACTATGTCAGCTTAAGGGAAATCCTGATTATATGAAAGCTTTCTCTGATGACAGAAATGTAGCAGATGATTAAAGATTGTAGAAGCCATAGGCCATAGAATCCTTTTAATGAAGTTGATAGTGTGCAAAATGGTTGAGCAAGTTCCAATGCTTTTAATGCCAACAGGTAAGAAGATTGGTACCTGCTGAGTGAAGCTGAAAATTACCTGCTCTATTCCCCCTCTTCTGTGCTGCTTCTAGCTGCCCTCCCCCCCAACACAGCAGAGTATGTTTCTGGGTAACTTTGGATTCTCCGTTGTCATAGCAGGCCTTCTTCAATTCAGCATCCTTCAGATACAGTGGTGCCTCACTTAGCGACGTTAATCCGTTCCAGGAAAAACGTTGCTAAGTGATTTAATCACTAAGCGATTTTTAAAAGCCCATAGGAACGTATTAAAATGTGTTTAATACGTTCCTATGGGCTTAGAAACTAACCTTAAGCGAAATTCCTCCATAGCGGTGGCCATTTTGGGTGCCTCTAGAGCGAGGCAAAACAGCGGTGGCCATTTTGTTTTTGCAGCGGCCATTTTGGAACCGCCGATCAGCTGATACAAAATGGGCCCTTTGCGGTGATCACTTCCGTGCGATCATCGCAAAGTGATTTTTCCCCATAGGAAACATCGCAAAGCGATCGGTTTTGCGATCGCAAAAACAGTGTCGCAAAGCGATTTCATCGCTCAACGGAGCAATCGGTAAGCGAGGCACCACTGTATGTTGGAAGATGGATCAAATGTCCCATCTTCCCCATATTGGGATGATGAGAGTTGTAGTCCAAACCAACTGGAGGACGCTGAGTTAGAGAAGCTTATCCATGACACCCAAACACCTGCATAGCATGTTTCATTGTTTACATTTTTTCATTTTTAGCCATGTTAGTCAGGGCTAGCATATCAGGCAAAATAAATAAATAAATAAATAAGTAAGTAAGTAAGCAAGCAAATAAATGAATGAATGAATAAATAAATAAATAAATAAATAAATATTCTAATCCATTCCAAAAAGGAGATATCTGGAGTAGACTTGTCCACAAAAGCTCACACTAAAATACAGTGGTGCCTTGAGTTGCGAACTTAATTCGTTCTGGGATGATGGTTGTAACTAAAGTTGGTTGTAACCCAAAACACCATTTCCCATAGGAATACATTGAAATGCAATTAATCCGTTCGGGCCATTTTTAAAGGTTGAATAAAGGGCAGGAAAGGAGAGAGGAAGAGAACAATGGGGAAAAGAGGAAAGAAATAAAGTCATCACTGGGATACACAGACCCCTCAGACAAAGGTTTGTGCTTTTAGGCACAAAAAGAGAGAGGACAGAGAGAGAGCGAGAGAGAGAGAGAGAGAAGACAATTGGGGGGGAGAGAGTCTGGAGTCTAAAACAAAAACAAAAAAACCATTCCAGCAGGGACTAAAAATGCTACATCACCCATCAAAGAACAGAAACATCACCCCTTCCCCAGAATCAAACAAACCCGTTGCAGCAATACCAGGCAGTCCAAAGCCTCTCTCAGAATGCACGCTCTAACCGCTGGGGCGAAGGAGCTACAAAGAAGCAGCCTCTTCACCGACCAACGGTTAGCAGTTTGAATTCCCCGCCTTTCCCCCCACCTTTTTTCTGATTGTATCTCAAAGTTCCAGTTGCAAGTCAAACCAAAATTTTGCAACCAGAGCTGGACATAAATCGATTTGGTCACAAGTCAGGATGGTTGTTAAGTTGAGGCACCACCGTAATGCAAAAGCGGTCAATCTGTCCAATAGGGGGAGACTTTTTTAACCTAAAATAACCTCTAAGGTTAAAAAAAGGGGGTAGGAAAGGAGGGAGGGAGGGAACAATGGGGAAAAGAGACCTTTTTTTCCGGTTGTATCTCAAAGTGCCGGTTGCAAGTCAAAGCAAAATGTTGCGACCGGAGCTGGTTGTAACTCAAATTGGTTGCAAGTCAAGACAGTTGTAAGTCGAGGCACCGCTGTACAGCAGTTGGTCTTTAAGGTGCCACTATGTTTTTGTCTTCTTTATTTTTTATTTTGTCTTTTTTTTTTTGCCTGATACAGTACTTATTTTTAAAATTAGAGTTCGGTTATACCAACGTCTCACTTTTCTTTCACAGCATGACTTTCCTCATCCAATATTATCTTCTCAACAACAACTCTGATAGGTTGAAACACCCGTTACTTGCCCAAGGTCACCTGCTAAGCTCTCATGAAAACGATGTACTTTCATGACTACATAAGAACTTGGATCTCCAAAGACTCAGTCCAGCAGTCTGATTAATAGACTACCCCAGCCTTTTATCCCTTTCATCCACAAGAATTCTCATACACATTGCTTTTTTCCTCACTGGGGGGAACCAGTCTACAGAAGACTGTTCCCTCCCATCCTAAGTAGGGAAAAGTATTACTGAGATATGGAGGCATGTGTGCATTCAAGAGCAGGACCAGACGAATGTATAGATTAAATCATTTACATCTTGGAGCCTCTAAATACAAAAGCAATTCTCTTAAAATAATATACATTATTACATTCTGCAGGCCTCACCCCATCTCAGTCCATTCCAGGGCAGCCACCGTCTTCTGAGCTACCATCTCATGTGGCTCTTGCAAGCTGAAACATTTATGGACAACTTCTATATGTATTTAGGCTGGCTGGATAGCTCAGTGGTTTAGGTATTTGGCTGTGGAGCCAGAGGTTGGGAGTTCGATTCCCCTCTGTGCCTCCTGTGAGAAGAGCCAGCCTGTGTGGCCTTGGGCAAGCTAAGCTGCACAGTCCCAGGGAACCCCAGAAGAAGGGAAGGGTAAAACACTTCTGAGTATTCTCTCCCTGGAAAACCCTGGAAAGTGTTAAGTCAGAATTGACTTGACAGCACAAGATGATTAACTATTATTCTATGTGTACTTATCAGTAAGAGGTAAAGGTAAAGGTTCCCCTTGACAATTTTTGTCCAGTCGTGTTCGACTCTAGGGGGCGGTGCTCATCCCCGTTTCCAAGCCATAGAGCCAGCGTTTTGTCCGAAGACAATCTTCCGTGGTCACATGGCCAGTGAGACTTAGACATGGAACGCTGTTACCTTCCCACCAAAGTGGTCCCTATTTATCTACTTGCATTTGCATGCTTTCGAACCGCTAGGTTGGCGGGAGAATCAGTAAGAGACTGAGATATAAATATGAAATCATTATCCTTATAAGTTTCAGACGGGTCACAGTAAACTCTGGATTCTAATTAAATACTTGATTTAATAATAAGCACCATCACCAACACAAGTCTGTTGACAACGGGAGAGGCAATTGCAAAACTCACATACCATGGTCCCTAAAGATGTCCTTTTCCCAGGGGTGGGCCGGTTGGGCATGGGGGGCAGGGGCGGAAGGTGCAAGTAACTTGATGAGGCTGAGTGGGGGGTGATCTGTAGGAAAAGGGAAGGCAGTATTAAGGAGCATAGCCTACAAAAGTTAATGAGGAGGGCTATGTGTTGATTTGTTCTGGAGGGAATACAAACAACAAAACAAAACAGCAGAATATGGTGCTGGTTCCACAACAAAGCATTCTGAGGAATTTCCAGTTTCATTTTTGAAAAAAGGGACAAGTTGCTATCCCTCATGATTTTGGAGGCAAGATGACAAGCTGGTGCTCAATTTGGGAAATCAGAGGAGTAGATAAACAATATCTGCACAGGATGGGAGAAGAGTGTCCGTGCCTTATACACGTATTTAACTGTCCAATGGTAATCAAAACAAACATTTATTAATTTTGTATGAACTTGCATGTCAGGCTGGAGAATTTAGCTGTCGTCGATGCAGAATTTTTATCACAGTGGCACAGAATTTAATCCACTACTAGCAGCCCATGATCCAAGCAGGGGCGAGGCATCGGCTTTGCGTGATCCACTTTGGGGTGAGGTGCCTTCCCTGCTCAAAGCAGAATCTATCCCTTTAGTCCGCCATCCTGGGTATTGTAAACTGGGGGACAGGACACATTCGAGTTAATAAACATAATGCTTTGGAGGGCTACCATTTCTAGGTTTTGCAAGATGGGCACAGGAAGACAAGGGAGCAGAGCAAGATGAATAGGAGATAAGGAGCACTGGATGTACACACATGCATGGTACTTACCAGTCGGCCATGAAGCCGAGACATGACCAAAGCACGGGATGGTCCACTCGATGGGGAAACGTAACCTCGATCTATAAACTGGTAGGAGGGGGAAAATTAGTGCAAGCCTCAAAGTTAGGACATGCACCAAACTTACAGTTACATGTCCCCATTGCCAGAAACTGGAAAGTAACTTTTCAAAAGTTATTTGTTCCTAATACTCATTGCAGCATTTAGAAAATGGCTTGTTGCTGTAACCTGTTGCACTGCAAAGAAAACAGTGCACTTTTACTTTTCATTACTTTGGGAGGTTGGGAGAAACCCCAGGAGGCCATACAAATGTGAAAATGCCTCTTTAAATGCTTTAAAATAACCCTATGAAGTGTTTTTAAAAGTGACTAAAAACATTTTTTCTACTTACACCAATAAAGTAATTTTGCTCCCACTTTTCGTACAACTTTTCCAGTATAACTTTGTTATGATCTTCTTACAAAAAGTAACCAGTTATAGGTAACTACTAAAGATGAGCAGAATCCACTGGTTCGGCAATTCATGCCAGTTTGTCCTTTGGACAGCAGGGGTGTTTGGTGCTTCCCAGCCGAGGCAGGGCAGGGAAACTGGGGCGGTGCCGCTGAGCGGACGCCTGCTGGAGGAGGCAAGACTGGGAAATCTTGCCTCCTCCAGCAGGTGCCTACTCACACATCTCCCATTGAATGAAACACACACATCCCCCGTCTGTTTGAAGGATGGATCAGCCCAAACCACTAAACCAGTGAGTGGTTCATGCCCACCTCTAGTAACTACACTATTTGTAATTCATTATTCACCAGCTCTCCCACTGTTGATCTACTCACTCTGTTTGGTTGCGGTCTTCCCAGTGAGGGTGTTAGGCCATCCTCACCCGCTGGCCGTGCTCTGAGGGGGTGAGGGCTCCGGGCGTAGCGCCGACCATAGGGGTCTTCAGTGGAAGGGTGGACATCATAACGGTCTGCAGGGGTCAAGGAGCGGCCCCTGGTGGTGGGTGACAGGACGCCGTATGGGTTGTTAGGAGGGCCCTCGCTGGGGGCAATGTCTACTCTCCCCATGGGCGTGTTGGGGCGCACGACAAGAGTCCGCGGAGACGTCCCAGCAGAAATATCTTCACACGAGGCAGCCTGTGCAGTGGTCGTCCGGGGGGGCTTTCGGCGAATGTGAGCCGGCTGTGATGGACTGGCCTCTGGCACCCGGGGCGAGTCGGCTGGCGTCAACGGGAGGGAATAGGAACGAGAGGAACGAATGGAAAGAAGAGGGGAAGGCTGAGGGGTTCTGGAAAGGGAAGAGGGTGAGGGGCTTTCAGAGCGGTGAGGGGGAGGTGGGGATGGTGGCCGCGTGATGAATTTTGTGCAGGACACAGGGGAGGGGCAGCCATGAGTCTGGGAAGACAGGGAGCTGCCCATTGACATGGAAAGGGGAACAGAAGCACAAAAAAGAAAAGGTGATTGTTATTATCGTTGTTATTATCAATTAAGTGTATACCCTGCCCAATCTCAAAGGAGGACATAAAAAGGAGCCACATAAAAACACAGTTTTAAAATTTCAGTGATCTAAAATCCCCAATCCTGAAATCATGGGTTGCAACTGCCTGCTAAAATAGAAGAAAAGCAACACGAACGAGCAGCTGCAGCAGAAGAGAATAGAGATGAAAATTAAGCTGCACTGCCCTGACAGCATCTTTGGCAACTAAATGAGCACAAATGGCCAGTCCTTTCTTTCCTGCTCCTGACAGTCCTGGTAGACTAGTCCTAGATGCCATTTTACCTTAAATCTGGTTGATCTTTCATTTCCTGGAGGTACCCCCCATTGAAGGAACTGGACAAAGAGATCCTCCTCGGGGAAGGGGAACCCGTCTGACTGTCCTGTGCGTGGAGGCTCTCCGATGAAGAGACCTCATCCTCCCGCTTCTTCGAGAGATGGGTGATTTCCAGGGATTCTGAGCTTTTTGCACACTCCTCCGGCACGAGTGTAACATCCTCAAAGCTGGTGTGGGTGGACACAGACTGGCTGTGGAGACCTCGATTGCTGAGGCAGGGCAAAAGGGAAGATGGGAGAAACTCAAGATTCCATGTCCTCCAAAAAACAAAAACCCATTATTCAATGTCCTCTGTCTCCATGGGAGATGCAAAATCTTTTGGGAGTTTTAGCAACCTTCATATGCTGCCTTTGAGAGCTTTGGCTGGGAGGAACCTTTCTAGGCTAGAGTGGCTGTCAATCAATCCAGCAGTAACCAACTGTTCTTTCTGTGCCTCTGATTTTGAAGGGACTTTCGCCTCTCTACTCAAGAATCCTTTTCCTGCTCTTTTCAATTAGTATTCAGTTTGTGTTCGGTTAGCATTCACAGTGAAGTCATGTAGTCTGTTTATGTTACAAGCATTTATGTAATCATTGTGAGTCAGTTAAGGCCGATTGATGCAACCAGTCAATTTTTCTACAATATATATATTTTTTGAGCTATTCAGAACTGTGAGTAAATGGAAACCTTTTTATTTTTTCTCTTATCAATATCTCAGAATGAGTTGTTGAGACTGTAAGAGCAGGTTAACAGCAGCAGCAGCAGCCGTAACAGCAACTACCACATGTGAACTGCAGTATTGGAAGGGACCCCAATGGATAATTGAGTCCAGACCCTGCCAAGGAAGGCACAGTGGGGAACTGAACTCCCAACCTCTGGCTCCACAGCCAGATACCTAAACCACTGTAGAGACAGGGAGATCTACTTGGAGTTAATTTTGCTCTTTATGTCCCTGCATTTCTGCTGTACAGCTAGGGTATTTTTAAGCCAAAATTCAACACTTTGCCAAGAAAATCTGATTGCCAACCTATCCTGCCCATTGCCCATGGCAATTTGCTCCTGCAGGACTGACAACTAAAACCTCCCAGGGAAAAAAAATTCTCACAAGGAAGTCAAAATACCTGTTCATACAAAGTCTTCCCCTCCGAGGCCAGGCTTTACTGTCATGCAGTTCATGGGCAACTCTGAAGGCTCTGGGAAAGCAAACCTCCTCCTCAGAGCTTTTTAAGACACTCTGCCCCTCCCTATGAAACCTGGGGTGGCCAGACTTCTACTTGCCTTTCTAGTACCTTCATTTTTTATTTTAAAAGGCGACAGGATTAGAGGGTAAACTGGAAGTTTCTGGGAGTATCATCCTCTATTTCTTTTCCACAGAGTTGGGGAGTTCCCATATATACGTTCACCCCTGCCATCATAGAAATCAGCTCCCCCTTTTTTTTTCAAGCAATCCTTCTTCCCAGCCCTACCTCTCTCCCATGGGCCACATATACGTTCACCCCTGCCATCAAAGAAATCAGCTCCCCCTTTTTTTCCAAGCAATCCTTCTTCCCAGCCCTACCTCTGGTGTGAAACCAAAGATCCCTGGAGGCTGGCTTGCCTCAGGGCTAGCCACAATCTGCCTCAGGCAGGAGATGCTGAGGGGAGGCAATGTCCATCTGCCACACCTGTTCTTCCTCAGCTTCTAGCCATTCCCCACCCCTGAGCACCATATCATATGAAACACACCCAATCTGATCTGATTTGAAAAACTAAGCAAGGCTCGGTCTAATTAGTACTCGAATTGGAGTCCACAAAAGCCCAGATCAGGCGCTGTTGTTCCTGAAACAATGAATAGCTGTGATTGTGGAAGAGGATGGAGAGTACACATGGGCCTCACTCTATTGATTGATTGATTGATTGATTGATTGATTGATTGATTGACTGATTGATTGATTGATTGATTGATTGATTGATTGATTGATTGATTGATTGATTGATTGATTGATTGGATTTCTCTCCCACCCATCTAGACCAAAGTTCTACTCTGGGCGGTTTACTTTAGTGATGGAGAATAAAGTCAAATCCAACTTAAGTCGCACCAGTGACACAACTCATCCCACCCATCTAGACCAAAATTCTACTCTGGGCGGTTTACTCTAGTGATGGAGACTAAAGTCAAATCCAACTTAAGTCGCACCAGTGATGCAACTCATGACTCAGAATCCACCCACCTCCTCCTTTTTTGGGGGGGATGGGGGAGCTTGTTTTTAATAGGGACTCCAACTTGGACAACTCACAACTCAAAATCCAACCACCTCGTCCTTTTTGGGGGGGGTGGGGGGAGCTTGTTTTTAATAGGGACTCCTTGGGGCTTGGTACCAAAGACTCGAACTCGGGACTTGGACCCAAAGACTTGCCAACATCCCTGCTGCACCCACCCTGCAGCCCAGCCCTGGGCTCTTAATTACAGGAGAGCTGTAACGTGTTCAAGGGAATGTGGTTACAAGCACCTTGGTTGACCTTTGCATTGAAAACACAAAGCTCTGCCTTACTTCCAGATAGGATGCAAAGATGTAGGGAGGGCTATTTCAGGTATAACCCTGTAACAGAGGTACAGAGTCAACAGTCCTGAGCAAGAGGGAGACATAATCACTAAGATAATATAAAGCAGCTTCCCATATTCCTAGTCCAAGAACTACTAACCCAACATACGGCTGTCTATATAACCTCTCCCAAACCCTTACTAGGTTCCAAAGTTGCATTCAGCAGCTGCCGACTGTTTCATGGCCCTGATCCAGCTATTCATGTCCAACTGGGTTTCTGCGCTGAAATAATAGGTTCTCATGCCCGGATGTTCAGCCTAGGAGAGAAGAAAAGGGGGGAATGTCATTGTAGTGGCACAAGCACCCCCAAGGGGGCAGCAAATGCACAAACACAGTGGTGAACCACAGCCATAGAGCCAGGTCATGGTGGACTTGTTGACTCATGGTGTGTTTCTTGCATGGCTGCCAACAGAAAACAAATAGTTCTTAAAAGTAAACCTGCATCAAGCCCAGCAGCTCTTCACCACCTCTGCCAACATACCTAGAGGCCCTCACTTCAGAGTTACCATAAAGGTAAAGGTAAAGGTTCCCCTACCAGCAACGTACCTAGAGGTCCTCACTTCAGAGTTACCATAAAGGTTAAGGTAAAGGTTCCCCTTGACAATTTTTGTCCAGTCGTGTTCGACTCTAGGGGACGGTGCTCATCCCCGTTTCCAAGCCATAGAGCCAGCGTTTGTCCGAAGACAATCTTCCGTGGTCACATGGCCAGTGCGACTTAGACACGGAACGCTGTTACCTTCCCACCGAGGTGGTCCCTATTTATCTACTTGCATTTGCATGCTTTCAAACCGCTAGGTTGGCGGGAGCTGGGACAACCGACGGGCGCTCACTCCGTCCCATGGATTCGATCTTACGACTGCTTGGTCTTCTGACCCTGCAGCACAGGCTTCCGCAGTTTAGCCCACAGCGCCATCACGTCCCTTACCATACTCCAGTCCATTTCCCAATATGCTTCTCTATGAGGAGTACCTGTTCCCTGTGTACCTGCAACTAGCCTAAGGAAGATCACAGTTATATTAAAGCCAACTAGCTGGGGGATTCTGGGACTTGCAGAAAAGTAACTTTTCTAAGTTCTCAAACCTGCGGGAGGCTCCAGTCCCTGCCATCTGCAGTTGGGAAGAAGCAAACATCTCCAGCTGAGAGACTCTGGAGAGTCCTGTTAGTTAGACAAGTCCATATAGCGTTAGGCAGCCAAGGATAGACATATTGAGATCTGGATCTTCTCTAGCACACAGCTCATAAAGGTTCCTGGGGGGCGGGGGCTACAGGTCCCAGAATCCCACAGTCAGCATGGCCAGGCCATAGATGTTTTAATCAACATCATTGTGTGCTGTCAAGTCAATTCTGACTTATGGTGACCCTTTTCAGGGTTTCCCAGGTAGAGAATGCTCAGAAGTGGTTTACCATTCCCTTCTTCTCGGGGGAGCCCTGGGACTGTGCAGCTTGCCCAAGGCCACACAGGCTGGGTCTCTACTCAAAGGAGGCGCAGCGGGGAATCGAACTCCCAACCTCTGATTCTGCAGCCAGATACCTAAACCATTGAGCTATCTTAGCCTGACCCTGGAAAATAAGTTTTCTGACCCTTGGTCCATAGAGGCCAACTTCTTAATCAGGGGGCTAGGCTGGACCGCTCCCAATTTACCTGGGGCCACAAAGCCACTGAAATTCATGCCACCACTGCCAATTTTTTTGCTATTGGCATTGCTGGAGGAAATTGAATGGCAAGTGGCCTCAGAGATTTTGTTCAAGGCAGTCTTGACACCAAATATCCCTTGATGAAGAAGCAACAACAGGAGGTAGCAAGAGTGTCCACACATCCCACTCGTATGCTTTCTGGAATAATGCGCCCAGAGGCTGTTAGGAGATGCCTGGCTAAATAGGCCACTGGCGCGACCCAATAGGGTTCGTGAGGAGAAAGGACTGACCTTGAATACAAAGCGCCTGTTCTTCTTTTCTTTGGAGAAAGCTGTGCGAATCTCATAACTGGGGAGAGGGATGCTGCCCAAAACCATTTCTTCACGGCTGTCTGGAAAAAACACATAACCCCCACGTCCCCATCAAAGTCACACAACATAACTCCAATGTACTTCTCCATGCTTCCCCTTAGAGCAGGCTTCCGCAACCTCATACCCTGTAGGTTAAAGGATAACTCCCACTGTTTCTATACTGCATGACCATGTTGACTGGGGATGGTGGGAGTTGTAGTCATAGTCAATCATATCTGGAAAGCACCAAGTTGAGAAAGCTAATCTACAGAACTTGCAAGGCACTGGGGCTGGCTTTCCCTCAGCTACAGAGGACTCACTGAGAGCCCACCCCACAGACAGCTGGGGTGGTGAGAACTGAGGGGATCTCTTCAGTCATGGTGCCTAGGTTGCACAGGACTCTCTCCCACACAGGCTGTTCCATTCACCTCGCTCTTGTTCAGACCATATCCAGCTTGTACTGAATTTAAATGTACAGCTTAAACATAAAGAACCTTAAGAAAAGGGTGGCAGGTTGAGGGCTTTGAAGGTTAAGCAACAGATTCCTAGGAAAGTTATTACTTTAACATATTACTAATACGTTGGAACAGGCTCACAGTCTTTCCCATTATGGTGGGCTGTACTGAATTTCCATGTAAACTGCAGTCATTATTTCTGAATTTGCATCCAGATATATATATATATATAAATAAGCAGATGCAAATTTTATGAAAATTTACATCCTCTTTTTCGCAATGCTCTTATTTTTATGATGACGACGATGGTGTATAAGTGGCCATCTTATGGTATCCTTGTCGTAACATTTCCGATTGTCTGATTTTCTCTGGAAGCATAATGACCTGTTTCTGTCTCTGACATATCTCAGATTGAGTAAACAAGTCATTTACCTCGGTAATAGAAGAGGCAATAATTGGAAAGGACAAACCACCGCCTTTTCCAGAGTTTAAGACCTGAACTGTCCTGTTGGAAGAAAAAAAAACAGAGGAGGAAAAGGAAAAAAATTAACAACAACATCCCAAGTGGCTATTACAAATACAAATGAACATAGGTTTAGCTACCCCACATCCTACTATTAGCAATTAGAGATTTCTAACAGGGTTGGCTTCGGGCGTCAAGGGAGCCTGAACGAAGGACCACCTCAGATGGTAGGTCCTAATGGTCTCACCAGGTACTAGAAGTGGCTTTTAGTGCTGACCATAGTCCTAGCAACTGAGCCTAGCTGCCATTTTAATTCCCCTAAAGCATGTCTGAGCCGCATGTGGTCCACAAGGCCATTTTCAGAAGCCCCAGTACCCTCCTAGACTTTGTTGGACCTTTCAATCCCTTCCCCCCCCCCCACAGGTCTGCCCTCCCATAGCGAACTGTGCCTTTATAAGTCCTCTATAAAGCAAGATAGAGGATCTCTTGAACCTTGTTTTTGCCAAAACCCTCCACATTAAAAAAAAAACTGGAACAGCTTGTGGGAGATCTGTGAGTAAGGATCCCTCAGAACCTCTGCATTTATCCCTCCTGCCATACTGCCTTGGACCAAATACAGTGTTGGGGCTTTGTAGGGGATTAAAATGATAACTCAACCAAGGCAACTGATGCAGAGAATAGGAAGAAGGTGCAGAGAGGATCCCGAGGTGGGCCTCTGGGGATCTCAGTGGCACTAAAACAGGCTAGTCCAATGGATTCAGCAGCTTGAGAAACCCACCCAAGTCAAAATCAGCCAAGTTATTTTGAAATTTAAGGCAGAAAACCTGTCATAATAAATTAAACCTCTTGTCGTCTGTTGCCTTTTAATGACAAAGCATCAGCTCTGCTGGCCAAGGTGACCGTATCATCCTGTCTAATGGTAGGGCCAGGTCTGCCATTCAAGAATATCAGAAGATGAAACTGGCCATCACTGCAAAAGTCACTTGCTTGTTTTGCTCTTTCTGTTTACACCCTGCTGTTTCATGCAGGGACCTTCTCCTTCCATGGCCCTCAGCCCTCAAGTTAAGGCTTCCCCTTGGTTTCTCTGCATCTTTTACCTGCTTATAAAGCCACCCACGCATGATGACGGGTGAATTGGGGTCTCTCTTGATTGAATTTGCTCTCTTTCCAAATGTGTGCACCTTCTGGACAGACCGGGCAGAGTGTCGCTGTGGGAGATATACAGAGAAGTGAAAAATTAATTAGAGAAGACATCGACAAGGACAGAAGCATCAGTGGAAATGTTTGGGGACTAGGAACCATTGTAAACTTCTTTGCGTAGTTTATAGGGAATTCTTCTTCCCTTGGTGCAAGACTTTTAAAAGGATTTTTAAAAGCGCAAGCTGCAAATGTCAAACTGGCTTTGAAAATAAGCCTGAATGAGTCTCAAATGAGACTCAGGAACTCATGTGGAATGGGATATGTGACATCAACTCCCAGCTTCCTTCTTAGGGAGCCAAGACTGTTTCCAATATCTCACCTTGGTTCCCATGGAGACGGAAGAGATGGTGGCTGTGCTGCTGGCTTGACTTAGGCCGCTCTTAGGCCGGTTCCCTTCTGACATAGCACCCAGCTAACCCAACACTATCTGAAAGAAAGCAGAGGAACATGAATATCAACATGTTGCTTTGGAGGAACATTCAGTGTCAGAACATCGAGGTTGGAACCATGACTTTGGAGAAATATAGGACAGCACTCATCATCCTTTCCAAGAAACTCCAGTTGTAATAGTGGAGTTGCAGTCTTTTATCTTTAATTAAAAGCTTCCAGTCTCTCTCTCCCCCCCCCACTCCCCAGTTTTGAGGCTCCCTAAGAATCCCTTTCGACATGGGGAAGGCTTTGGAGCCTCATGGCTGGGGGCAGCCTTTGATGTGCAAAGATCACTACTGCTGGTCCACCAGACATTTCCTGAACCACTCTTGGCATCTGATCCTCCTCAGCCTTGCTCTCTTCCTTCTTCTTGGTCCATTCTCAGTCTCTCCTTCTGTTTTATCCCATCTAACATTGGTTGTCCCTATACAACTTAGGAAAATGAGTTTTTGAATTATGACTTCCAGAAGGTTGGTAGGCTGGCTGAGAGATTCTACAACCTGTACTCCAAACCATAATTTCCACAAGCTCTGCTGTAAAAATTATGGGCCAGCTTCCATCTTAGTACCACATACTAATCAAACCATTTTGCTGTCCAAGGCAAAGAACTGAGCTCAGTGGTTTATCGATCTGGATTGGGAACCAGAGGTTAGGTGTTCGATTCCCACTGTGTCAACTTGACAAGGGATGGACTCAATGATCCATAGGGTCCCTCCAGCTCTGCAGCTCTAAGATTATGATGATGATATAAAATGTCACCAGCCCATTTCATGCACCATTCCATCACCACTGCGTAAACCATAAACATTAGTGATCTGACAGAATCATCCACCATACCTAGCAAGAAGCTAATTTGGGGAAAACAATAAAATACATAGCTTTCTCCCAACGTTTCACTGTCATTCTCAGCATCTGGCACATCATCCTGTCTGACAGTAAGGCTGGCCCTAAGCCTATCCCATAGTAAACCTCATCAAACCTTTGTCATGCTAAAATCCATTCAGACTGTAGCATCAGCACAAAATTTGGATTCCTGAGGAAATCCACATTCTCTCTCTTTCACCATACAAGACCATGTTTCTAGCTCTCATCAGGTCCGAAAATACAACTGAAAACGTACAGCCAAGATTTCCAGTTGCAGTCAAAGATCTCTCATGGATCAAGAATCTATCACAATCAAGGTGGAAAGGACTTTTGTATACTGCTCATTGCTCTTCCCATCAAAATGCACAGCTTTCGAAATGCCTCCCCCCCCTTCAAAGTCTCCCCAGTGATACTGCACCACTCAATTTTACAAAAAGGCCCTCTAAAACACAGGATAAAGCAGCACTGTGAGAAGTCAGTGTATTAACATCTGTCTTGTGATTTTACCTAACTTACATTGTAGATTTTCTGGGCAAAGAAAAGTCCTACAGAAGCAGCAGGAGACAGAAAAGGGTCATGGGCACCAGTTAAAATTTACTTCTTCATTTTATCTCAGCCCATATGGATATACAGTGCATTTTGCGTGCTTTGTCGATTCTTCATTTTCTCCTTCCTTAAACGGAGCTGAAAGTCAAAATGGAGTGCAGAAACCTTTAAGCTCCCTCTCCTGTCTCCTCAGCCCCCAGCCAGAGAATTCCCTCTAGTTATTTTTGGATCAAACCCACCTGCTTGTGTCTGGCAAAAGCATCTCTGAAAGAGCGTGGAATTGGTGAGATGGGAAATTCCACCCCTGCCTTTGGCAGTCAGTTTTCAACGGTTAACCGGTCCTTTGTTCTCAAACACCAGCATCTCCTTTCTTAAAAGGGGATAACTAACACTTTCAGATTTTCTCTGAAATTTGCATTTTAGAATCTTATGCTCCTGCTTTGAGAGCTGGTAACATGGTTCATCTGTTTTTATGGCATGTCTGTTTCCAGTATCTAGTCCTCTGGATATACAGGACCTCTAACAAACTGTTTAGTTGGCTTGGGTCAGAATATGCCCACCTGCTAGCAGGAGGAGTGGTGCCAGACTGCATGAAATAGAAAAATCATATTTTTCTTTTCCAGGTGATCCTCACTATTTTGTGACTCTTCAAAGTCATGAACCATCCAGTCTCCCTTTGGTTTGTTTCGGAGGCACTATCTGTTGTTTATATATATATTTTAAATGTTTTGTGCTTCTTTAAAAACATGACAAGGACTCCTAGTTCAGTGGTAAAGCATATGCTCTGCATAGAAAGGTCCTTAGGCTCAACCCCAACCTCACCTCATCTCCAGACTGGGGAAGAATAAATCCTGCCTGACACCTTACGCCACCATGAAAGCATACCATCTATTCCAGTTTCAGCTCTTATTTGAAACTTTTGAAATTCAGCAAGGTTGAGCCCAATTAGTCCTCCAAAGGAATACTGAGATCTCCAGGTAGGGCAGGAAAAAGAATACAGCTTGGAAGAACCCTTCAAAGCCATTGCTGCCAGCTCAAGCTGCCAGTACTGGGTTTAAACTGACCAATTGTCCAACATGCTATAGCACAGTTTCCTAAACTCCTCACCCTGGAGAGCAGGGCTACTGCTGGGCTAGAACCATGATACCATGCTCAGTCCCTGGGTGTCTTCCTGTGTCCTTAAGCATCAGGATGATCTGAAAGGTTTGCTTAAGCATGCTGTTAAACTGCTTTTACTTCTCAGTGGCTCTAATCCTGTGGCCACTCCTTGAGCCGGCTGTCAGGTGGAACAAGCAGCACGCTTGACAAAATGTTATGGTAGGGCATATTTCTTGCTCAGGATGCCAGCCAGTAAACCATCCATGCCTTTTCCTTCAGATGATCCCATTCCATGCCCCTCTTCCCATGCATTTTATCTCCCATCCACTTCAGTTATTTATTTATGTATTTAAAATATTTTTACCCCACCTTTCTCCTTAAAAAGGCCCCAAGGCAGCTTAGATCATTTAAAGATAAAAACAATAAGTACACAAATAGTAAAATACCACACACAAAAAACACACCAGTAAACAAATAGCAATGTCACATTTAGTTGTAGGGCAGTGGCTTGAATTTTTATTATTTCTTTAATTCTAGAACCCTTGGGTGTCTTGTAGACCCACCAATACCTTCTATTTGCATACAGATCAGAGCTTTGAAATTTTTTAGAGTATGGGCAGCATAGTATTAAATTTTCATGCACTCCATCTGTTTAAATTTAAGCAGTGAACTGCCACAAAGAAGCCAGCAGAGGGATTTGCTGTAACATGGCTGATGTGAGACAGCAAAGGCCTATGCTAACTTCTTGACTTGCAGGAAAAATTTTGCTGAGATTTATGTTGATGGAGATAAGGTGGCAGCATTCAGGCCTAAAGTTCCCCAATCTTCTAGCCACCACAGCGTGGATATTGCTAGTTCTACTGCATACAGTATATCACAGAAGTGAGTACATTTCATAAATATTTTAGTGTATTTTTTCATGTGACCACACTGAAGAAATGACACTTGGCTACAATGTAAAGCAGTGAGTATACAGCTTGTATAACAGCGTAAATGTACTGTCCCCTCAAAATAATGCAACACACAGCCATTAATGTCCAAACTGCTGGCAACAAGAGTACAGCCCTAAATGACAATGTCCAAATTGGGCCCAAGTAGCCGTTTTCCCTCCCTGGTGTCATGAGACCCGTTAGTGTCACAAGTCTCAGGTGTGAAGGGGGAGCAGGTGTTATCGCTCTCACTCTCTCAGACTGGTCACTGGAAGTTCCACATGGCACCTCATGATAATGAACTATCTGAGGATCTGAAAAAACGAATTGTGGCTCTACATAAAGATGGCTTAGGCTACAAGATGATTGTCAAAACCCTGAAACTGAGGTGCAGCACAGTGGCCAAGACCATACAGCGATTTAACAGGACAGGTTCCACTCAGAACTGGCCTTGCCATGGTCGACCAAAGAAGTTGAGTGCCCGTGCTCAGCATCATATCCAGAGGTTGGCTTTAGGAAATAGACGTATGAGTGCTGCCAGCATTGCTGCCGAGATTGAAGGGGTGGGGGTGGGGGTCAGCCTGTCAGTGCTCAGACCATACGCCACACACTGCATCAAATTGGTCTCCAGGGCTGTCGTCCCAGAAGGAAGCCTCTTCTAAAGATGATGCACAAGAAAGCCTGCTTGTGGTGTACTGCAGACTATCAGACTAAGGACCTGGATTTCTGGAACCATGTCCTGTGGTCTGATGACACCAAGATAAACTTATTTGGTTCAGACGGTATCAAGTGTGTGTGTGGTGGCAACCAGGTGAGGAGTACAAAAACAAGTGTGTCATGCCTACAGTCAAGCATGGTGGTGGAAGTGTCATGGTCTGGGGCTGCGTGAGTGCTGCCAGCACTGGGGAGCTACAGTTTATTGAGGGAACCATGAATGCCAACATGTACTGTGACATATTGAAGCAGAGCATAATCTCCTCCCTTCAGAGACTGGGCCGCATGGCAGGATTCCAACATGATAACGCCCCCAAACACACCTCCAAAGCAAACACTGCTTTGCTAAAGAAGCTGAGGATAAAGGTGATGGGCTGGCCAAGCATGTCTCCAGACCTAATCCCTACTGAGCATCTGTGGGGCATCCTGAAATGGAAGTGGAGGTGCGCAAGGTCTCTAACATCCACCAGCTCTGTGATGTCATCATGGAGGCATGGAAGAGGACTCCAATGGCAACCTGTGAAGCTCTGGTGAACTCTATGCCCAAGAGGGTTAAGGCAGTGCTGGAAAATAATGGTGGCCTCACAAAATATCGAAACTTTGTGCCCAATTTAGACACTGTCACTTAGGGGTGTACTCACTTTCGTTGCCAGTGGTTTAGACATTAATGGCTCTGTGCTGCATTATTTTGAGGAGACAGCACATTTACTCACTTCTCCGATATACTGTATAGGTTGCTATTTGGATAATGGATTTGCTATTAGTACACAGGATTCTGGTGCCAGGCTAGGTTTTCAGAGTTATGAGTTAAGAACACAAAGTGCCACGGCCCACAAAGCAAATTTCTACTTCACATGATGGACACCTCATTCAAAGTGTTTCATTTTTGTGAGACCCCCACTGATGTGAAAGTATTGTTTAAAGACTGCAGACTGGATGCAGGCTATGCTTTCTCTCTGAAACCAATGGCAATGTCATAGATTTCATGGAAATTGTAGAATGAAATTAATCCATGTCTGACACATCCCATTAATTTCAGTGAGATACCTGCACAACTAACCTGGCTGGGGCTCAGCCTGTAGAAAGGATATTTTTAAATAATTATCAAATGGTGAACTGGATCACTGACCCTACTCCATGTGGTTAGTCTCCCCCCCTCCGCCCCAGCAATTACTTCAAGGCACCAATTGAGACCCTTCCCAAACTGAGAAACTTCCCAAATGGATCAGGAAGAAGCAATGTGCCTTTCCTTTCCTTTTCCACACATGCCTTCATTTGTTATTTCTGTTGTTTCATAAATCTTGACTTAAGGACTCCTTCCTAAGCAGAAGGTCCACTCCGCTTGATGAAGCATGCCTGAACCCTTCTAGGTCTCAGCAAAGAAAGATTTTCACCAAGAGACCTCTTGGGAAAACAAGCTTTTTGCAGCTCACATATCCCCAGCCAGTTGAGTCCCACCGGCAGAGAAATGTAGAGACCCGCAGTTCAAGGAAATTCTTTTCCAGAACTCTGCACATACCCTAACAGATGCTTTTAAGCAAGGATGGCTGGGGCTGAGCATGAGATTTTAAATTATTACCATATATATGAAGCACGTGCTCTACCACACTCTCTTTCTCTGCTTCATATGAAGCACGTGCTCTACCACTGAACTATAAAGTGCCTCCTCAACCAACATCTTTCAACAAGGCCAATTTTCTTAGCAGAAAGACACAGCGTAGCCCTGTTGGGCTGGCTCAAAAGAAGGTATGGCTGCCTATAATTAGATTTCTTTGGTGCACAAGGAGGTAGGGACTCACCCCTGTTCAAGTTACAGAAAGGGGGAGTTCAGAGGGCTGCTGGAACAATGGAAAGCTCGTTAGCCCCCAGGCTGTGAATTCTTGGTGCTAAGCTCCCTTCAGTGACCCACCACCTAAGGCAAAATAGGCAGCTGTGGGTATTATGTTGCTCCCACACATCTCAAGCAAGCAGGGGGGCCTGAGTTTCTTGGGCCAAAGAAGCCTCATCCTTGATAACAGGAAATTCTAGATTGGTTGTGGTAAAGGATTTGGCAGGGAACTAAAGCTGACTTCCTTGGTGGATGCATGCCTGAATACACCCACCCACCACCATCCACACATATATATATAGGAAAAATGGAAATACTGGGGCCAGTATGAAAATTCTTTGCAAAGCTGAACAATATGCATGCAAAGCTCATTATCATTTTGCTTCCACAGTAATTTTGGGAGGGGGTACCACCTTAGCTGTGTTAAGTCACCCCTCCACTAGTGGGGTAGCAGGAAACCACTGTGACAATTCCATCTTAAAGGAGCAGACTCAAATCTTTATATGTATATATTTTTAAAGTACTAATTCAGCAATAAAGTGGCGATGTTGTATCTATTATTGTATT